AGTTAAATTATCATTATTTGTGGATGTCATGATACTCTCTCTATATAGATGAGCCCAAAATCTCCACCAAAAGACTTTTAGATTTAATAACCATATTCAGTCACATAGCTGTATACAAAGTCAACACTCAAAAATCAATGCCTTTCTGTACATGAATAACAAACTCACTGAGAGAGAAATTAGGGAAACCACATCTTTCACAATAGCAACTAAAAAATGAAATACCTAGGAATCAATCTGATGAAGGAAATAAAACTCCTCTACATTGAAAACTATTGTACTCTGAAAAAGGAGACTGAAGAGAATATCAGAAAATGGAAAGACATCTCTTATCCCTGGATAGGAAGAATCAATATAGTGAAAATGGCCATACTTGTCATGCAGATTTAAATGTTATACAGATTTAATGCAACTCTAATCAAAATAACAATAGCATACCTCACAGAATCAGAGAAAACATTCGTAAAATCCATTTAGAACCAGAAGTGACCTAGAATAGCAAAAGCAATTCTGGGCAACCAAGGCAAGGCAGAGGGCATCACAAGCTCTGACTTGAAGCTATACTACAAAGCCACTGTGATAAAAATAGTATGGTACTGGCAAAGAAACAAACCAGAGGATCAGTGGAATTGATTAGAAGATTCAGAAACAACTCCAGACACACTCAGCCACCTCATCTTTGACAAAGGAGCTAAACACCCTCACTGAAGGAAAGATAGCCTCTTTAATAAATGGTACTGTGTTCCAACTTGCCAAAGACTAAAACTGGAACCATATCTCTCACCATGCACTAAACTAAAATTGAAATGGATCAAAGATCTAAACATTAAAACAAAAACACTAAATCTGCTGGAAGATACAATAGCTAGAATACTTGAAGACACTGGTGTAGGCAAAGACTTTATGAATAAGACTCTGATCACACAGGAAATATCACAAAGTATTGACAAATGGGATCTCATCTTATTAAGTTGCTTTTGACAAGCAAAAGAAACCAACAGAGTGATGAAACAGCTCACAGTATGGGAAAAAAAATTGTCAGCTGTTCCTCAAATAAAGCTCTACTATCTAGAATATATAAAGAGCTTAAAAATAATCAGTCCTCTAGAAATTCAAACACCCAATCCAAAAATGGGCACCTGAAATGAATAGACACCTCTCAGAAAAAGAAGTACAAGTGGCCAAAAACATCACTAGTTGCAAATGCAAATCAAAATAATACTGAGATTCCATCTCACTCCAGGAAGAATAACTACTAGCAAGAAATCAAACAACAAATGCTGGTGGGGCTTTATGGAAAAAGGAACCCTTCTCCACTGCTGGTGGGACAGTGGAGTAGTACGACCATGGTGGAAATCAGTGTGGAGATCCTTAAAAGACAAAAACTAGAGGATCCATTTCACCCAGATATTCCCTTTTTGGTGTCTTTCCAAAACAAAAGCAGCACACCACAGCAATATATGCAAACTCGTGTTTACAGCGGCACAGTTTGTAATAACTAAATCTTGGAAACAGCTCAAATGTTCATCATCCAATACAGAAATAAAGAAGATGTGCAGTTTTGTTTTGTTTTTTTATACAATGAGGGTACTACTCTTGCATAAAGAAGGGTACACTTGGGACATACCTGGATAAATAGATGCACCCTTGAGACCATTCTATGAAGTGAAATAAATGAGACACATATGTTTAAATAGTGTGTTGTTTCTTTAGTGTGAGAAACTGAGAGTGTAGATAAGGACCAAGATGTATAATAGATTTGGGGAAATGGGAAGAAAATGTTGTGGGGAAAAAAAAGGAAGGGGGAGGGTGATAGGAAGGAATAAAAAGGGAGAATAAAAGGAAAAAATGGAAAGAAAGCTTTTGTAAATAAGGAGGTGAAGAGGGGTTGAAGGGGGAGTAATGGGAAAAAAAGAAGCAAGATATATCATGTACAGGCACAAATTCCCTATGATGTATGTTATCATTATGCAAATATAAAATGTACCAATAAAAACATTTTAAAAAATTATACTATATTGTTTCTGTTTAGGTTATAATGAATAGGAAAAAAGTTTGTACCTGTTTAATTCAGATGCACCATGGTAGCCACGGTACAGACATACGACTCATAGTGAACACTGCTCCCCGCAGATCTCCTCAGTGTATTTCCCCTAAGATGTCATGGGCTGGGTGTGGGTCATGGGCTTTTGTTACAGGAGCAGCTGAGAAAGGAAGTATACGACACTAGACCAGGAGCTGCATTTCATCACCATATGTTGTTTCTCAGTTGTCAACAATCAGCATCTGCTAATACCAATACTTCCAAGTGCTTACTCTCCATCAAAACTGGCCCTTCAATGTTGCCTGGCAGTAACTCTGCTGGGCCCAGGGTTTCTGAAACTTTGTTGTACACACAAATCACCTACAGGCATTTTTTTAAGTATAGATGCCATTCAGAAGGTTCAAGGTTGGGCCGAAATCCGTGTTCCTCTGGAGCTCCTACGAGGAGATGGCAAAGGTACTAGACTGACAAGGACACTTTGAGTCACAAGGTTCTCTCCACTTGTATTTCAGCTGCAGTCAGGCATCACTTATCCATGGGAATACATCAAACACTGCTCCCTTACACAATTGCATTATTGTGTGAACATCTATAAAGGGCACTGACACAAATGTAGATGGTAAAAGTCAATCATGGGTGTGGCCTTGGTGCAATCGGGATACAGAAAAAACAAGACATGGCAAAACACCACACATTGTTTGAAAAGTAACTTTTTTTATGAGTAAGAGCACACTGTAATGATTAAAACCATAGTATGCCAAATGCATAAACCATTAACATGAGTTGGACGTGCAGTCTGTGCCTGAATCTCAGCTACTCAGAGGGCTAAAAAAGGAGGATCTGCAATACAGTGAGACCCACACTCTTAAAAACATAACAATCAAAGTAAAACAACCAGTAAAAGCCATCATCATTATTAGTACTGAGCAAAATTGTATGAGCTGTGCCTCTTTACAACTGATAGCAGAATAGGCTTGTTTATACCAGAATCCTCACAAATAATAAATAATGCATTCAGCAGGACGTTAAGACAGCTAAGAATTGTCAGCTCTGTTTTGTTCTTATAAGACCGATGTCATATGTATAGCATACCACTGACCAAAGCATTGTCTGGTAGTATACACCTGTATTCGCCATTGCTGTCCATAACACCAACAGCAGTACACTTCAGAAATGGCATCACTTCCTATTTCACAGGAAAGAAACCTCATAAAGTGGAGAGCGGTGGGTAATAGTGTCTGGGCCTCAAGATTTGACATTAAAGAGCTCAAGTTTCAGCCTGGATATTCTTATTCCCCTGTGATATTTTGCAATATCCTTAACCTTTCTGAGCCCCAGTTTCTTAACACATAAAATGAAAATAATAAGGCCAAACTCTTGGTATTTTTTTAAAATTAAGTGAGTAAATGTGGCTATATCCTATTTAAATTTCTTGAGTAAGCAATAAAAACCAACTTGCACCAAAAAAAATGGAAGAATTAAGAAATGTATTGCTTGAGACTTGTTTTAACTGGTGAGGAAAAACCCCAAGTAACAAACAATGGATTAAACAAGTTAATAACTCATTTCTCTCACATAGCCAAGGGTCTGGAGCTATCCTGCATAAATTGGCATAGATTCCAACATGACAGGAGCTCGGATTAAGCTATGTACTTCAACACAAGCTGGAGATGTACTCATCACTCCATTGGACCTACTATGAGATCAAAGCAGATGTAAATTATATCTGTTGGCTCACTTCACAAAGCTTTATCCTTTCTGAAAAATCAAGTATTTTGTGTCTCAAAAAGTAGAATTGAAGCTGGGTGTGGTGCAAGCCTATAATCCCAGCTCTGGAGAGGCTGAGGCAGGAGGACTGCGAGGAATTCAAGGACAACCTGAGCTACAAAATGAGTTCAAGGCCAGCCTGAACTAGGTAGCAAAACCCCACCTTAAAGGGGGGGGGGCAAATCAGACATTTGCAAAAGTGATTAGACATGTTTATGCTTCTGTATTTTAAGTCTAGTCCTCTTTCACCATTTGCATACTTAACATTCCATGTTTCAGGTATTCATAAACAACCCAGAAGGTCCATGGCATGGAGCCCTTTGTCATTTTGCTAAAGCAACCACTTGAATCTTCTCTGAAGACTGCTGCTTCCGTGGGAGTCCTTGAGTAAACTTTATCTCCCCACCTGGCATCCAGCATAATATGACTCTTCCACATTTCACGGCTTGCCAGCTACACAATGTTCAGTGAAAATCTTACCTTCGGTGTTACTAAAGGGCATCTGAACTTCTCAGGCAGTTCTTTTAAGTGCTCTGTCAATATTAATTACATAATTATTATAATAGAAGGAAATGATACCGAAATAACATCAAAAATAACATAGCAAGGAAAATAAGAGATACACTCAAGAGGATAAGAAGACAAGTCATAGACTGGAGGGAATATTTACAAAAGATATGTTGATATAGGACTATTACGGAAAGCATTCTTTAAACTCGGCGTTAAGAAAATTGAAAATTCCCAAAAGGTATAAGCAGGTTTAGAGAAAATAAGCATATGAAAAATATTTCACATCATACATTACTAGGGAATTACAGATTAAAATAAATGAAATTTTATCACACACCTATGGAAATCCAAAAATCCAGGACACTGATAGCACCAAATGTCAGTAAGGACCTGGAGCAACAGAAGCTCTCACTGGTCCTTATAGAGGTGAAAAGGCAAAATAGTAACCATCACTCTGAGGACAGTTTGATCTTAGAAAACTGGGCATTCTCTCCCTACAGGATTGCTTTTTTCTTTTGGAGACAGGGTCTCTCCATGCATTTCAGGCTGGCCCTTGAATTTGCAGTGATCCTCCTGCCTCAGCCTCTGAGTGCTGGGATTATAGGCATGTATCACTATGCTCAGCAAGAGTAGTTTATTTTTAAGTCAGTAAAACTTTTCTTGTATGACACAATAATGATGCATACATGTTACTGTACATTTATCAAAACCCATGATGATACACTACCAAGAAAGAACTCTCCTGTAAATTCCAGACTTTGAGTAATAATGATCCGAAGGTGTCATTTATAGATGCCTGCAAATGTACCATTCTAGTACAGGGTCTTCGTGGTGAGGACTCTGGAGGGTCCAGGCAAGGGGTACGAGGTGTGTGAGAACCTTCCGTACTTGCTGCTCAGCTTTCCTGTGAACCTGAAACTGATGTAAACGTCGTTTACTTTTAAAAAGACATACACATAGTGGTTCAAAATTAACTCACAGAAACATGAAGAAATAATTCCAAAGTTTAGAATACTAAGAAGGCATGTTACAATGGTAATTTAGTCATTTATTTAGAGTGCAACTGTAGGAATAGCATCATTATTTTATCTTTATTATTAGAGTTTGTTTTTTTAAAACATTATTTGTATAATCAGTTAATTGGCAACAAACTTTCCAGAAATAGGCCTGATAAATTCAACATGAAGAATACTATTTATTGGGTAATGTGTTTCCTTGGTAAAGTCGTCCATTTAGTTACAGAATGTTAACAAACATATTACCCTGCCAAAGGTTTCGTTCCAATTAGAATGGTTAACTATTAGCAATTCCACAACTCATCCAGAAAAGAGACAAAAGCAAATGATGCTTCAGGGAAAGTGTTCCCCGGCTGGAAGCAGGAATAGTCTCAAAAATAATCCCCAAATTGTCATTATCATGTTTTAGAATTAGGAAAGAAATTTTGATATAAATATTTTTAATCACCTCTCACTTTCGATCCTGGACTTCATTATCTTAGCAATTTATGTAAGGTCTGAGAGAGGTGAATGGATACTTTTCTTCGTTTGTTTCTTTCTTTCTTCTTTCTTTTTAATTTTGTTTTCATTAGTGTGTGTGTGCAGTACATAAGGACCACATTCCTCCTAGGGAGCTGGTATGCAACATAACACAACCTAATTTTCATCCCCTTGCTCTCCCTTTGCTCCACCCTCTCTATCTCTGTATCTTGGTCCTCTTCCTTCTTGCAAAAGATCTCTCTCCTTATGTCTTTACTATCTATCTGTCTTCCTTTTTTTCCTTTCCCCCACCTCCTTTGGTACCAGGGATTGAGCTCAGGTCCTTACATTTGCAAAGCAGGCAGCAGAACCACTGAGCTAAATCCCTGACCTCTGTCTTTTAATCCACACATGAGTTCCGATAATCTTTTCTCATAAAAAATGATTTTCTACTATAAATATTCTGGCAGAGAATAAACTAGTATATAGTATTTAGCTATCCATTTTCATGCAACAACCAAGCTATATTCTTCAGTCACCTCTTTCATCCAAAATTAAGGAAATTCCGCTGAATAAAACATCCACCATTAGATTCAATTTGTGTCACTATAGTCTTTTGTTAAGCATAATTTTTTTTCTTCTTATGTAGAAAACAGAAACATATATGATAAAAAATATCGCAATTACATTTGAGAATTCTTTAGTTTTAAATAATTTATATTTTTATTTGTATAATTTGGACAATTATTTAGACAAAAGTAAATCAGATTATATGCATGCTGTTAAAGTATCAGAAGGAAATGGAATAAATATTTACATGTATTTTGGCTCCAAAGAGACCCGGGTCCTATGCCATTGGACACAAGTTAAGGAGTTTGAGGTCAAGACATTATCTTGGAATATCTGGTGATATCCTGCATGAAATTACAAGTGTCTCTATACACAGGACACAGAGGGAAATTTAACTATTAGAACAAAAAGATGTGGCAATGGAAGGGAGAGTTATGAGAAAAGGATCCCAAGCCAAGGAAGCAAGCAATCTTCAGAAGCCAGAAAAGGCATGGAAATGGATTCTCCCAGAGCTTCCAGAAGAGGCAGCTCTGCCAACTCCTTTAGCCCAGTGAAACTGATTTCATACTTCTGGCCTCCAGAACTGTAAGAGAATAAATTTGTGTTGTTTTAAGCCACCCAGTTTGTGGTAATTCGTTTCAGCAGCCATAGGAAAATGAAACCATATGTAAAAAGGAAAAGAAGATGTTTATTTGGCAAATATACAGATGCACATTGAAGTATTTGGGAGAAGTAACTAATTGAACTGCATAAAAACAGACTGATTCAATAGATAGAGCATTGGAAAGATGAGCAAGTGTATAAAAAAGAAAGGATAGTGCAGTGTTAATGTAAAATCTAGGTGGCAGGAGCATAGATTTATACTATAAAATTTCTTCAAGTCTTCCTAGTTTGAAACATTGCATAATAAAACATTGGGAAAGAATCATAAACGAAAATATAGATTATCACAACATGGGAAGTGTATCTTTTTTTTCCATGATACCAAGAGTACAAGCAGGAAATTAAAAGATTATTGGATCTGTGTGATTCAAAATGAAAATCTTCGCCAAAAAAATGGAAAAAGTTAAAACAAAAATAATACAAATATTATGCACTAATTATATATAAAAGATAAATAGGCTCAGAAAAGTTTGCCAAGTATGTCAAAATGACATTTTTAAAAAAATAGCAAAAAGGTAGCAAGATAAAAGTTATTAATTTGTATGTCGAAGGTACTCAAATGCCAGTAACTATAAGAAGCACCATATATCAATCATTCCATGTTACTGTATTGGCATTTTACCCCCACAGTTTTCTAATACAGATGCTACCAATATCTAACTATTAATTTGTAGAATATAGAGATACAATGCCAATGAGTTTGTTGTCATTTGTCTGTTCTATTTATATACATAATAGGGCTGAGGATTTAGCTCAGTGGTGCCACCACCTGCCTCATAAAAGCAAAGACCCTAGTTTGATCTCCGGTACCAAAACACAAGAATATATACATAATAAATAAACAATGCACTTACATAACTATTTAGCAAATATAATAATAGCAGTCACTTACTCTGACAATCATGTTGCTTAATACTTTATGTACCTTTTTCCATTTAAGGCTCATAACATCCTTGAGTAATAAACACAAGGGGTTTTTTTCCTCCATTTACATGAACATGCACTTCAGTTGAATTTGAGTGACTTTCTGCAATCCTATTGTCAATAAGCATCTTTTTTTTTTTTTTTTTTTTTTGGTACCAGGGATCGAACTTTGGGGCCTTGCACTTACGAGGCAGGAACCACTGAGCTAAATCCCCAGCCCAATAAGCATCTATTGATTGTCTCTTTATTCTTGCTGTCACTTCTAATTCACCTCCCCTGAGTCAAATCTCTCTCTCACCTTACCAGGGCAGATAGAGTCCACTTTCCTTCATCCTTATCTCTCTCTCTTTTTTTTGGTACCAAGGATTAAACTCGGGTCCTTGTGCTTGCAAGGCAGGCCACTGAACCACTGAGCTAAATCCCCAGCCCCATCCTTATTTCTTAATAGCAAAGGATGGCCAAACTTACTGCCACTGTTCTGCTGCCTGTAAGGAGAGCCAAATAATGAAGAATAGAATTCAAGCCAATAGAGTCGAAGACTAATCACAAATACAGTGTGCTTGTCTGTTTGTTTGCTTGTTTTGAGATAAGGTCTTGCTATATAGTTCAGGTTGGCCTACATATCCCAAAACTTGCAGCAATCTTCCTGCCTCAGCCTCCCAAGTGCTAGTATTACAGGTGTCCACCATGCCTGGCAAAAAATAGTTTTATACTGGCAATTAAACATATAATTATGAGTTTAGGCAAGGACTTACCTTGATAAGTCAAATAGAATTGATCCATAACCCACAATTTACAAAATATACCAAATCTGATATAGAAATATTAGCTAGTATAAAAGAACTTTTCTAAATAGGAAAAAACTAGAAATGAGCATGCTCGATTGTTAAGAAAGATAATTTATTAACTGAGGAAAAAAATGAAAGTGGACATAGTCTTTACCGGGGATTGAACTCAGGATCTTGTGTGAGGCACTACTGAGCTAAATCCCCAGCAGGGTATAGTGTTTGTCTTATAGATATATATAGTCACAACTATCCCCCCCTTTACCACACAGATTCTTGTCATCATCAACACATCTTCCAAGAGCATTAAGTATTTTGCTGGCAAATTTTTCTCAGATCCACACTGTGTCCTAGAAACTAGAGACTCAAAGATAATGGCCATGGTGTGTCACACTCTGTGGGTGATTTTCAGCCCTAAAAATAATCCCTCCCTAAACAAAGCCATGAGTTCACTGCCACAGATGTAACAGTTAACTCCACCACAACCCTCTTTTTCATCTTCTGCTAACTTCTACTCTTCCATCACCCTTTATGGTGAAAGTGGCAGAATAAATATAACAATACCTGTAAAAACAAAAAGTGCAAATTAAGGCCAAGTGCATCAACATGACTTAGTTGATTTTGGAAAATTGTGGTATGGGGCTGCAGATTTAGCTCAGTGGCACCACATCTGCCTGGCAGTGGAAGGTCCTACGTTTGATTCCCAGTATAAAAAAGAAAAAGAAAAGAAAGAAAATTGTGGTGTAAACTATGAAACATTATTTACTTCAAGATATTGAGGCAAATCAATTTATCTATGGCACTTTTGATTATTTCAGCAAGAGCTCACCTGTCAAATAATAGTTATTCAAATCTTCCCATAAAATGTTTACCCTGCTCTGTCCATCAACGTCAAATGCCATGTGACAAATTTTCCCAATTTCCATCATATCTCCACAGTGAAACCCTTCCCAGACACGGCAATCTATGAAAGTCCATTCCTCCTTGGAAAGTACTACTGAGACTCTATAGTATTCTACCTCATTAAAGTAAGCGCTAATATATTTGACTTAGTCTTATTAAATCACTTTTGTGTGATATTGTGAGATTTTGAGGAATTAAATTCAAAAGATGTCAACATAATATAGAGATCTAGAATTTTCCAACTCTAACCCTCAAAAACTCAAAATATTTTTAGTTTAACCCATTTTAAAAGTATTTTGCAATTCTAGACTTAGGAACAGAACTGAATAAGTCTATTTTGGCCACTATACATCAGTATTTTATGGAGAGAATTTAAAGTTTTTTTAACATAGTCTCACAATTTATGAATTTTTTTAAGGTACTATCTTAGAAATTGAGAGCCTGCTCCTTTTACTTCTTTGTCTGAGAAATGTCTGTTCATTTCAGATGCACATTTTTTTATCGGGTCTTTATATTTGGAGGGGGGGTCTGGTTGTTTTTAGTTCTTTATATATTCTAGATAATAGTCCTTTGTCTGAGGAGCAGCCAGCAAAAATTT